CGAAGGTTATTCAGCGTATGTTCTCCTGTCAGGCTTCAAATGCTAACTTCTAAGAACACTTGGTTGTGTTTGAGTAAGCTCCCACCATTTGGTTTAAAATATTTTAACTACGTTAAGAGGTTTATTTTACTGGTTCATGAGCACAGATTTTTATGTCCTTTGTGGAAATGATCTTTAGGGCCTTTCATTTTGATTTGTTTGTTTTTGTCATTCTGACAGCTATATTGTTAGTTTCTTTCATTTGCCTTATTAACTTTTCATTTGAAACTCATTCCTTAGCAGAATAGTAACATTTCAAGGAGATTCCTTCCCACCTACTCACCCCCCCAGAGAGTTCTCCTGACTTCCTTGCTGTAGTTCAAGGCTGGAGGTTGGTACCAATCAGAGGAGTAAAATGGGGTTGAAGAGAGCAGCCGCTGTCTGGCAGTGGCCCTGACCGTGTCGATTTCCCCCAAAGTCCTGTACGTCTAGAATCTTATGGTCTGTGCTGCCTGGCTCTGCCCTCAGCAGCTGTGGGCAGCAGTGCCCTTCCCAGCTCTGAGCTTACTCCATACTGCGAAATGGCCCTAGCGGAGGGCCCATCCCTTGATAAAACTTGGCCGGCTTTTGGAGTGATGGTGTGGCTTCGGGAATTTACCAGACTCTCAAGTCTCTGCTGCAAGCAGATAATCTCCTTCTGACTTGTCAGAGCTAGATTGGCATCCAGTTTAGAGCTTAGAGTTCTGTCCATGCCCCATTTTTTAGTCAAAATCTTGAGGTTAATCAACAATCTAGTCCAGCATGCTCCCTAGGACCTCAGAGCCCTTCAGAGCTGTGTGATGTTCCCACTGAGTCTCCCCTCCCCTCCCCAGTGCTTTGCCCCACGTGTCCTGGCAGCTTGCCTCTGCCTGAACTGAGCACAGGGCATGGGAGGGAGCCCCTCCGCACAGCTGAGCCTCTGCTACAGTGACCCAAATGCTGCACGTGCAGCCGGAGCTTTGCTACCGTGTTCCCAGCGCACGGCTTGTTCCAGCCCGAGCCTCCTCGCCCATCTGTCTGCCCTGCGGGAGCTCGTTGTCCAAGCAGACTCCAACCCCCACCTGCCCGCTCCCGGAAGAGGTTCCTGAGGCTGTTTCTATAGAACCTGTGCTTGGTTCATGTCTATTTCCAGCTCTCCTGGTAGATAAAGCATTTGATCTAATATTGATCTAGCGACTGAGGAAAGTGAGTTGAGCCCTCATGATTGTTTCTACAGCCATCAGCATCCTGCTCAGCAATACCTTTTACAGGCTTTTAATTTTTTGTTTACAGTATTACCTCTGAAATCAAATCTTGACTTTCTGGTATGTTTGTTCTTGGACTTTTCAAGGGATTTAAAAATACAGAACCTTGGTGCCAAAAATTGTTTTGAGGAGCAAGCACAGCTTATTTTCCATAGATGAATCCCAGTTTGGATGGTCAATTATTTTCTTCACAGAAACCTACAAAGTACATATTCGAGTTCGCTTTGGAATTGAATATGATCTTAATGTTGTTAAGCCAGGCTATTGCTTATAAAATGTGTATTGTATTCAACAAATGCAAAATAGAGCATTCAGGAGCTTGAGTACCACACTTGGGATGGCAATGAAGAGCCCAGGGTGGCGATATTTGGTCTACACTGAATGTGTTTGCTGGGGCATGTTGTATAGACAGTTCAGGTGTGTTAGGTTTTTCTTTCAACTGGTCTGTGAATAAAGGAGTATGACTCAAGGCTGAACAGGGTTCAGCAGGCCCTGCCCTTCATCATTGAGAATGGGGTGCTGCTCTCCAGTGTGAGGCAGGAGGGGTAACATAGACCTCAAGAGCTCAGAGGTCTGGGGGCCAGGCTAGACTCTATCAGTTAGGCCATATTGCTCTGCCAGTAGCAGAAAAAGTTGTTCACACCAGCTTAAACAATGAAAGGAGCTTACTGAATCCTGCAACTGGACATCCAGTGGTTGGGCAGTCTTAGGGATGGTTTCATTCAGCAGTGCAACAGTGTCACCAAAGATGCCGCTTCCTGGCTGTCTGTTTCTAGGCTGCCTGTCTGCCATTGGCTTCATCCTGAGGCCAGCTCCCCCTTGTGGGCACACACTAGCTGCCAGCACCTCCAGGGGCTATAAGCTTCCTCCTGCCCTCAGTCAGGGGAGCAGGAGAGTAGCTTCCAGAAGTTTTGTCAGAAGAGCAAGGAAGCTGCTTTCCTAGAAGTCCCCCGGGGAACTTTCGGCATAGTGGCCTGAATGGATCACATGCCTACTATGCGCTTGTAAGTACCCCACCTCTAGAACCCGAGGTGGAGCCAGGTTCCCCAAAGCATATAGGCAGCAGGGGGCAAGTGAGGCTGCCTGAATGAAAACTGGGGAGGGTACCAAGAGAAGGAGGACTAGCTGTTGGCTGAGCAACCAGCCGTATTTGCTACGATCAACTTCTTCGGCCAGCCACAGCCAGTGCTCCCTGCTGCCCATACATCAGCCTCCCAAAAGCTCACCCCTACAGACAACCTATTTACTTTGCCCAAGAAGCTGCCACTGTGATTGAGAAAGTCCAGGTAATGTGCTGTGTGCTCAATATGTAGTTTCTCATGTTCCAGGGCCCTTTGGCCACATGCTCACCTGGGCAGAAAAAAAGCAAGAATTCAGGAAAGAAGGGGAGCTTTGGATTGAACCAGTGGTTCTCGCTGGCAGGCAGGAGCAGGCCTTGGAGGGCTATTAAAGTGCAGATTTACTGGGTTCTACCTCCAAACTTTCTGATTCAGTGGGTCTCAGTGGGGCCTGGAAACATGCATTTCCAACACGTTCCCAGACGCCACTGCTGCTGCTAGTCCAAAGACCCCACTTGGAGAACTTCTAGTATAGAGAACCCCAACGGGCCCTTCTGATTCTGACATTTAGGACTCAGATTTTGTTCGCTATCACTTTTGCTCTCCATTGACTTAAAACATATTGTTCTATAAACGGGGTGCACCCTACTGTGCCATATGAAGGCTAACAACATCTTGGTACTCCTGCTTTGGTTTGTCATATAATTTTCAACAAGTGGAGCTGACAGTGAGGGACACCTTAAGGCTTCAAGAAAGTTAATGATGTCCTTGGAGTTAATAAGTTAGGAACGAATACAAACATTGGTCCTCCAACCTCCCTGCCCCCATTCACTGTAGCATGGCACTCTTTGGGGTGAGTCTGTGTGATTCCAGAAAGCAGCTCTTTTTCCAGGGAGAAACAGTGTCCTTAGGCCTCATTTTGCAAGCATTGTCCCTATGTCATTTGAGTATCTGTCAGGCCTTAGAACAGGAGTGGCCCTGGGCAAAGCTGCGAGGAAGAGCAAGTGGATTTGAGAACTTTGCCAATTTTCCACCCAGGGCCCCTCACCTGGCCAACATCTATTGGTCCTTCAAGACACAGCTTAAAGCCCAGCTTCCCCAGGAAGCCTCCTCTGACCACCCCCACCCCAGCCTAGGCTGGGTCCTCCTGTTACTTGTTCCTGTATAGCACTTAACACCCTGTATTACAAACCCTCATTTAAAGTGCTTCTCCATTATATGCATGTGGCAGCTCTGAAAGACCAAGGACCGCACCTGCTTTGTCCACTAATGTTATCACAGCACGGGGCCTGGAGCAGGAGTTGCTAGTAAGCAGGTGTTGCAGAAGGCTGACTGAGCAGATTCCAGCCACAGTATTTTGTTGAGTGGAAAACTATCAAATAATCTATACTAGTCATTCTATAAGGTAGGATGATGGGTGCCCCAGAGTAATGAGACCGACAAGCCCTCAGAAGAAACAAATACACTGAAGGACCCATTCTCTGGGATCCTGGCACTGTGGACACTCGGGATCTCCCTCCCAATCAGGCACCCTGGACCTCCTCTCTCTGGACAGCAGCCCCCAAGCACCCAGCTGCCTCCCTCCCTCCCAGGCCCATCCAGTTTGTAGACAGGCACCTGGGTGGAAGTGGAGGCCCCTCCCACTCAGTGCATCACAGCCAGCAGGGCCTAGAACCCCGATCTGGGTGAGCCTTGCACTTGCCCACCAGGGCCGGGGGAGTCCGGCTGGGCCATGAAACGCCTGGCACCAAGTAACAACCTGAGTCTCCTGACTTTTGGCTCAGACTCTAGGCACATGAATTCTGCGGCAGGTGGATTCCAACCTGGGAACGGAATGTGAACTTCATACACTCTTTATAGTTTATCACCATTGCTATAATATTTTCTGCTACTGAAAATAATTTTATAACTAAATCAAACTTAACCCCTCAATAATTTATTTAGAAAAGACAGATTATTACAGTGAAAGTCCACAAACTAACATCTTGCAGATATTGGCTTTGGCTGCTGGGCTTGTGCAGGTGGAGACAATCAGAAAGACCTAACTAGAGCCCAACTTGGCCTGGAACCCTGAGCAACTAGACTTGTCTGGGGCTTCCCCGTGACTTGTGTTGTCTTTTAAAACAACCAATTCCTGATTAAAGTGAGGAAGGAAAATAACCGAAAAAGATACCTAGTGCAAGAAATCTATAGACCTCCAGTAAAGCTCAGACCAAAATTAAGTCTCTGAGCCAGCAGCCAAGTATTTAAAGGAAGAGATGGAAGAGTGCTTCTCCTGTCACTCCTGGCTCCCTGTGGTCACTCACTAGGGCAGTGTGGGGGGGTGACAGGAGGTGAGGACAAAAGGGTTCCCTCTATGTTTTTGGTAGAACGAAGAGTTAAGTAGCCAAGTGCTCCTTTGTGTGTGTGGGGGTCTGCCAACAGGCAGACATCAGGACGCGGTATAAGGCTTTCCCCCTAGTGCAATTCTGTGAGGCTGAAAGGAGAGGGAGCAAGGGAAGGTGGGAGAGCCCCTAACCATGCTGCAGTGGGCAGACGACAATTGGGTGAGAAGAGTTGGGGACCACCGTGCAGCTCTGGGAAAGGTTCAGCCAGCCAGGCCAAGGCAGAGTCCTGGAGCCCAAGTAAGCATTGGAAGAGACCTGCACCTCACACGGAGCGTGCCTGCAGAGTACACCCACCATAGTCAGTTCATTGGTTGGAGTGGGGTCCAGGCCAAATGCAGTGACAAATCAAGGGGACAGCTTCTGGAGGCTCCGAATTACACTCCCCATGGCAAGAGTTCTGAACAGCCATCAGCAAGACCACCACATCCTTCCTTCAGTAGCTATGGCTGGCAAGGCTCTTCCCAGAGTCCCTGGAAGACAGTGGATAGCTATGGGAACAGAGGCCTGGGGTAGCACCCAACTAACTACTTAGGAGAACAAGGCCAAGGCCAGCTTGACTGGTTTGTTTGTAGCTAAACTGTGCTTAGTCATTGTTCACTCAGTGTTTGGATTCTTGATCCTTCTCTCCCTCCCCTCATCTGTCCAGTTTGTCCTCTGACCCCAGGCCTAAGAAAATAAAACTCTACACATTTGGGAGAAGTTTAAAATGAATTAGCTGGCAAGCTTTAGTTCCCATCCTAAGCATCTAAGCATTACCATGCCTTGGAAGTGGGGTAGACTGAAGAGACTAAAGTTACATGAGAAATAAGCAAAATGAATATTTAACCCCTTCATTACACTAGGAAGAGGCTAAGTTTTATCTTTCTGGTGCCTAAAAATGACTATTTCTTTGTTGTTTTAGTATCACAAATCAGAGAACATGAATATTGAAAGACACATTGGAGGCTGTCTAGTTCAACTACATCATTTTACAGATGGGGGGACACTGTAAAATGGGACTTATCCCAGGAATTCAAAGCTGGTTCAACCTATGAAAATCAATCAATGTAATAAACTGTATTGACAGAACAAAGGACCAAAACAAAGCAAAACACAATAATCTCGATAGACACAAAAGGGAAAGGGACTTTCTCAAGCTTAAAGCTAATGGCAAAGCCCAGACTAAATTCAGGTCGCCTGACCTCCAGGCCAGAGCTGTTAACAGTAGTGTGGGGGTGGGGATGAAAAGTGGAACTAGCCCTTGCACATGCGTATACTGTGGATAACCTGCTTCCATTATTAGTTCTCAGATCATGTATCACCAAGCCAAATAGACGGGCTTTTACTGTAAGTGGATGGGAGTCTTCTCCAAATTCTCTGGGCGAAGAACACCCTCCCCTGTGTCAGTATGTGACAACTCTTGGAGCCCAGGCTGTTGACCTGCCTCAGTGTGACTGGGTCAAGTGGCCATTTGTATAAGCTAATGACTAGACCATCTGTGTGGGGACTGGAAAGAAGCAAGTAACACTGGGGGAGGCCAGAGGCCAAATGACTGGGAGACGTGGAGCAGTCGGGGGAGGAGAGGAAGGAAGCTGTGCTGTCTCCTGGAGAAGCCAGGGACCAGGCTGACTTGGCCTCTGGCAGAGCCTGGCCCACTGAACACTCTTGCTTCCTGATGGGACAAGTAAAAGCAGGCAGATATTTCAGAGAGTCAGGGAAAGAGAAATGCTACTGAACAGGACTGAGTAAAGAGTTCACCTTTGGCTTGGTACCTGGGCAGCTCAGATGGAGCTTTTCTGAGGGTCCAGCTTCCTCCAGACATGCATGACGGAGGCCTTGCTGGCCCCGCAAGGAGTCCTCCTAGTTCCTGGTCATGATTAAGGAGACTGCATTCCAATGGCCAGCTGCCTGGGATTGCCCTGCTGTCACTGTCAAAGCAGTGGAGGGGACCGCATACTGATGCTCCACCACAGTGTTGCCTTGGCCTCCTGAACTCTTTGTCTCCTCTTCTAACATGCACTCTTCAGAGGCCCAGGCAGAGGTCCACCCAGAGCCAGGCACCAAGGCTGCAAGCCATGCCCAGGGGCACGGCCCTGTGTGCCCTGGCGGGGGCAGTGGCTCTCAACAGTATGCAGAGCAGGGCTTCCTCAGCACAGTCCCACTGGTCCCAGGAGTGTGGGTGCCCTTTTTACTTACTGTCAGTGAGGTTCACAGAGGGATCCCAAAAGGTCAGCTGTGTGTGGGGCCCTCTTCTCTCCTTCATGTCATTGCTTTTTGTGCAGGCGTGTGTCTTCCAGGCCCACCCTGAAGCTGCGCACTCCAGCTTCTTTTGAGTCTCCTTTCCTGGCATTCAGACCAGGGAAGGCGGCCTCCTTTGGGATAAAGAGGTTGCCTGGGAATGGGGAGTGCTGAGGCCTAGTCTGCTCTGACTTGGGCCAAGGCTCTGCCCTACCCCAAGCCTGGAGTCCCTGCCCCCTGCCCCTGCCAAACCAGGGAGGTACATGCTCTCTGTAGGTCTCTACAACTCTGTCTTTAGGTTGCTTGGCAATTATTTTCCCCAATTTTTCTATCGTAGTAAAATAACACATAACATAAAATCTGCTGTCTTAACCATCTTTAAGCTTCCAGTCAGGGACATTAAGCACATTCACCTTGCTCTGCATCCATCCCCACCATCCATCCACAGAACCCTTTTTATCTCGCAAGACTGAAACTCTGTCCCCACTAAACACTAACTCCCCATGACCCCATCCCCCCTTCCCTGGGGAGACACCAGGATCACAAAGGCGGTTTTCCCAGGGCAAGGCTCACCCATTGCTTGGCCTTCTTGTGAAAACCATGGACCTCTCCTTCCTCTGCAGAGGGTGATGGCTTGAGGAGGTGATCTCTCATTTCTCCTGAGTTAGAAGGGCTAGGGCAGTAGGGAGACCACTCAGCCCCAGGCAGACAGATGGGTCAGAAGAAGACAAGATGAGACCTTCAAGGGAAGTAGAGAGTGGTGCCCCACTCCATAAGGTACGGAAGGGGCGGGGACCGGAGAGGTCCCGTGAGAAAGAGGAGCAGCAGGAAACTGGGTTCGGGTGCCGTCAGAATACCTACTTGTGCGCCTCTCTGTGGACAAAACCCAGGGGAGGAAGGCAGGCCAACCCTAAATCCCATGAGGAGTGTGCTGAGCTGGGTCCCTGCCGTCTTGACCCCACCCTGATCCCCTCTGAGGGAACAGCTCTAGAAAGAGCTGGCTGGGGCTGGCAGCAGAAAAGAAAATGAGATCAAAATCCCAAAGTGACTTTTGTATTCTAAATAATGGTGATTTTACATGAACTTGAGTTGTTCCTTTGAAGTAGCACTGTATTTTCTACTTAAATGATTCCTGGTTGATTCAAATCCCTACAGCACATTCGGAAGAGTGTATAAAACATATAATAAAACCAACACCCATGTACCCACCAACCAGATTAAGAAATTGAATATTCAGAATATCTTACAAGCCCCCGTGTAGCTGCTCCTTCCTACAAATAACAACTCTTCTGACTTCTGAGAGGCAGCTCTGGGCTCCCCGGCAAGCTTTGAGCTGATCCTTTGTAGATGACGCACATCACCAATCTCTCCAAAGGAGCTGTTTTCTGCACAGATTTCCACAGATGGCTTGTACCATCTTATTTTGTGTTGGTCTTCATTAGTTTCCCTTTCAGATGGGGACCTTATCTTTTTTTTTTTTTTTCATGATCTTCTGGTTATTACAAGTGTGGACAAAACACAAGCCCCTTGGGATAGTGAAATAAATATGTGTGCTATATAAAAAAAAGGGATAACCACTGGCAACATGTTGGAATGCAATATTTCTTTTTTTTCTATGCAGAACTATTACTAGCATCCAGCTGTATATATAGCCTTTTCCTTTCATTGTGAAATACAGCACAGATACAGAAAAGCATGCAAGGCCTATATGCACAGCTTAAAGAAGTGTCAAGTGAACACCCGTGTCACCATCAATTAGGTTGAGAAATAGAACGTTGCCATCCCCTGAGTAGACCCCTGGTCACATCCTCTCCCTCCCCTGAGACGTGCCCGCTATGTTGATTCTGACATAATGATTCTCTCGCTTTTCTATGTAGTTTCACCACTTATTAATGAACTCTTAAACAAGCAGTCGCTTCATTTGGAAGAACTGAGTGTTGAGCACAGCCTAGGCATGCAGGCAGCAGTCACATTTGATGAAGGCTGCCGGAAGGAGAGAGGCTGAGTAATCCCCGGTCGTGTCTGTCCCCAGTTCCCCTCTTTGGGAGGTCATAGTCTAAGGCATGATGGAGTGGGGGATGTGAAGAGCCCACCACTCAGGATGCTTGGCAGTCGTGGACATGGGATTGGGCCATCCTTGGTGCTGGCTTTCAGGCACACCACAGCCTGCCTCCAGGTCCCCCAGCTTCCAGGTGTAGGTCAACGCAGGACACTTCCGTGGTGTGAAGTGAGCGTGCCAGCTGATGTGGGCAGCAGGGTACGAAAGGCAGAGCAGGGAACTGAGCAGCAGTGGTCTAGCCAGATCTCCGCCAGGGTCAGGGAGAGGCAGAAAACCAAGGACATGGAGCCGGGGAGGGGACCCGGGAGTCTACCCCCTTACATGGCCATCCCCATCCACTTTACCTCCCAGTTCCAGAGACAACTGGGGCGCCTGTTCTGAGCCTGATGAAGATTCTGCCATCCGGACGAAGCTGCTTTTCTGCTTTCCTTTGTGCCGTGTTGTGATTCACCTTCCTTGGGGCTGTGCAGCCCGTTCATTCCCCAGGATAGCTACTCCTTAGCTGAGGAAATTGTGATGTGGCTGTTTGCCTTCCTGCTCTCCTTCTCCTTGTGGGATTGTCCTTTAAACGCGACACCAGACCCTTGCTGTACTTACAGGGCTCTGGGAAGGAGTGAATTGACACACATGCCTTGAATCGGCCGTCTAAGTCCGGAAGTCTCTCTGAAGGAAATCCTGCCGCTCCCTTCCTTGGGTGCCCCCACGCGCCGGTAGCTGGATGAACCTGGGGCCTGTCGCTGTGCTTACCGTCCCCAGTGGGAGACGCTGTTGAGGGAGGACGCAGGCAGGCATAAGCATAAGGGGTAGGCTTTGGACATTGAACTTGTAGTATTTGTGTTTAACAGTGCAGATTTTGGAGTAAGTCAGACCTGCTTTGACCTCTAGCTCTGCCACTTACCATGTGACTCAGAGCAAGTTACTTTGCTTCTCTGAACCTCATCTTCCTCATCTGTAAACTGGGGGTAACAGTGGTGCCCATCTGTCAGGGTTGCCATGGGGATTAAATGGGATAAAACTGTACAGCATTTCACTCAGTGCCTGGCATGCTGTTCATGTAGCTGTTATCATCATCACCATCATTATCATGAGACTGTAGGAACCTTCTAGAAGCTGTCAGAGCAACTAGTGCTACAGGCCTCTCCTGGCTGCTAAGGCTCTGACTCGAGAGCCTTGATGCCCTCCCCTTACCCAGCTGCTGCTGCTCCCAGAATGCCTTCCAGTGGCCCACCCAGCCCGACCACGCACACAGCCTGCCTGCTGCATGCGCCTGCCGTTACTGGTGACAGGCACAGCACAGGCCACTCTACAGAAAGGCCCCACAGAAAACGGCCAGCCCCAGTCTCAGGCCTGCTCCCTGCCTAACACTATGGGAGGTACAGGAAGCGTGCCGCTCTCTATCCCAGGTTGTCAACAGGCCACTTGCTTATTCACTGGAATTAACGTTGCAGAAAAAAGGTATTTATTCCTTCATTCTTTAATTGATTTATACATTGTTGATTTTGCCTTTTTATATTCTTGGGGCTTTTTTTCTCTTGGCAAAGTTACAATTTACCAGTTCTACTTAATCCTGTGACTAAATTCCAAGTCTGAGAAACTTAAGATTGACTATATAAATTTGATATTGGACCCCATCAATTTTAGTCAATGCTAGACATTTAAACTTTGAAATTTTAGTCAAATTATATACATGTATAGAAGAAGAGATGCAGAACAGCTCAGGCCCTTCCAGCTCTTGCATGAGGGATACCCTGCTCCAAGAAAGCTTGAACAAAATGCGAATTCATGGAAGAGGGCCACCAACTGGGTGGAATTGGTGCTATGCTAGGGTTCTGTGCAGAACCTTTTTAGGGAGCCCTATCTCCCCCTCATCCCCTGGACCACATGCATCACTTGGAGTCTGCCTCAGCTCAGGATACACCTGGGTCACACAGCAGTAGCCAGCCCAGCAGCCATTGCACAGCTGTGGAACCTGAGTGGCTCTCCAGAATCTTCTAGCTGCTGGCATGCTTATTGTAGTAACAAAGGTTGGGTGATTTTATCAAGCAAAACTCAAAAGTCAGACAATATCTAGTCCAGGCTCTGGCACTAACTGAGGGGTGACCTTGCAAAGTTGCTTGAACTCTGTATGCCTCAGTTTCCTCATCTTTACAGTGGGATCACAATAGTACCTTCTCCATAGGATTGTACTGAGGACAATTAATTAATTGAAAGGACCCAAAGGAAGGGCTGAGCTCAGTGCCTTAAACTGAGTTGTTTCTATAAATGGCCCTAATTTTAGCATATGATCATTTTTATTAGTATTAGTCTATTTTCCCAAAAGAAAGGAGAGGTGGTGGCCCTGCTGAGCTATGTTGGCCAGACCACGACTACAGCAGCATGTCCAGTTCCAGGCTAACCTGTGAAATTTGTAGGACAGCACCTGGTGTATCGTGAAAGTGCTCGATACATGGCAGAGGTATTAGTAAATAAAACCTCTATTAACTAGCCTTCAGAGAATGCACACAACCTGCAGGCACCGGATAGGTATTGACTCGATTCATCTGTATAACCCCCATCACTCTACAGATAACACACACCTATTACCTCTCTTACAGACAAGGAAATGAAGGCACAGAAAGACTGTGCCTCCCCATGATTACATAGCTAAGAAGGGACAAATCCATGATTCAAACCAACACCTCCTTTCTCCAGAGCGGTGTTCTGTAGCCGCTAGTCCCAAGAGCTGCACTCTCCAGTACTATAGCCAGCAGCCATGAGGCGACTTAAGTTAATTAAAAGTAAACAAAATTAAGAAATCTCTTCTTGATATGCACTAGCCATACTTCAAGTGCTCAGTTGCCACATGCGGCCAGTGGCTACCATATCGGACAGCGCAGGCATAGAACAGTCTATTCTTTTTCTGGGAGAGTGATTCAGCATCATTTCAGAAAGTTCTGTTGGACAATGCTGCTTACAGAGCTTCTAGGATTCTACTCTTTGCAAAATCTCAGCCTTTAAGTTGTTAAGCTTTCTTGTGTTATTAATAGACACATAGTCACAATAGGTTGAAATCCCATTGACACGGCCAAGTAGGGTAATGGCAAGCGAGAGGCCAAGAAGTCTGACTCACATTACATTTTCCTGTTTTCTCAATGCATAACTTCAAATTTACAAAATTGTTTCTTGATACCTCTGTTTGACATGGAGGGAGATTGACCGATTTGCCCAAAGATCCAGCTGCTTCCACAGCTCGGCCTTGACCTCTTTGGGCTATCCGGGTATCATTCAGTGCCTTCACATGTTTATCCCCCCAGTGCCTGATGTCAGTCCAGCCCTGAAGGGCCTTGGGCTCTGAGTCTCTGGCGCATGGGCTAGGTCTCACCGTCCCTCTTCTGGGCTTTCTCTCCTCACCTCTGTTACATGGTTAGTAATGACCAGAGAAAGGAAAGAAAGGAGTTCAGGACTCGTTATCCTGAATGATCAAGTCGAGAAATCTCCCAGCTCCTAGAAGCCAGTGGAGCTGTCGTATACAACTGTAACTTTGCAAATGCACGCATACCTCTCCTGAATCTCCATGGAGAAGAGCAGACCAATGTCTGATCCAGTCAACAACTTAGGAAGTCAGAGCAGTCGTCCACTTCTTGCAAAGTAGCTGAGTGTCTGTGGGGTTAGTCATAATCTTAGCTTCTTGCACCCAAGCCCGTTTGAACTACGGTGATGTCACAGAAGAGGGTAGAGTTAATCCAGTGTGAATGTACAGAGAAGGAGCCTCTGTCCTTCCAAACCCAGGAGCTGCTTGGGTTTTAGTCACTCTAAATGAGATCCAGGTCTCTACCCCCACCTTTTCACTGTGCGTCCTGGGGTAAGCCTGCCTCCACGTTCTTATCTCATAAACTAGGGACAGTCTCCGAGGCATGTGTGCAGAGTTCAGCGCCCAGCACACTGTGTGTGCTCACTAAGTGTGTGCCCTGGTGTGATTTTCATGGTGTGGTTATGATCCTTCTCTGTTCTCTTACTTGTTTTATGACCCAACCACATTGTGAAGGTTTGAGTAGCTGTGCTTCAGTGAGGGTCAAGGCTCACTTTCTCCCAAAAAGAGTTCGCACGGTGCTCACTGGATGATCGTCTTCCAAGTGCCTGGGACATCACACCAAGCTCACAGCAGAGTGAAGTCAATTGAATTTTCCAAGAATTTGCTGAGCCCCTTGCCTGTGCCAAGCACTGTGGGCACCAGAGGGATTTAGAGATGATTACAGCTTGGCCCAGCAAGGATGTTCAGTCAGCCAGAAGTGCCCAGCCACAGGAGTTGGACGAAGGACAGGCAGGATTCCCGGGGTGGAGGAGCTGGGTCTCAAAGGACAAGCAGCATTCCCCAAGTGGAACCTTGGAGAAAGGGTGTTCCAGGTTGGGTGAAGCACAGAGGGCCGGATGCACGCGGCACCCTGGCTGGGGAGCTGGGAGGAGAGGCTATGACTGAAGGGAGAATGGGCATCACTATCAGACACTATCCATCCCATGGTCTAATTCGAGGGCATTTGGAATCACATGGAACCAGCCAGTCCCAAGGGCTAGAAATCATGCCCAACCAATTACCAGTCGACTTGCTTTTCTGAGACTTCCAGTGAATCCAAAGAAAGAGATGGATTTACCTTACTTTTGAAAACTTACAAGACTCAAAATGCCCCTAAAAACCTCTTATTGGGAGGTTGGGCCTCACACTTACGGGGGTTGTGATGAGCAGTTGCCCAAATTAAATGCAGAAAACACACGAGCATCAGCTATAAAGCTCCTAATCAATCAAGAGTCAAGATTGAATTTCAGCTATTTTATTTATTTCATTTTTAACTGGGATTCCATTGGCCAGCGAAGTGCCCACTCAGCTCCACTGACTGAGCAGCTCCAGGCCCACCCCCAGCAGCCACTGAAAGGGAGCCACGTGCACTGTCAGGGCATCTTCACTGCTGGTAACTTCCACGTGCCATCTGCAGTTCTTTTCTGCCTGCAGAGCTGCTCAGGCACTGCAAGGGTGTGGGAATGCTGACAGGGGGCCTATTTCGTGACCCATCACTAACATCCTACCAGTCACATGAAGCTGTCGGGAGTTCCTGAGCAAAAGCTTTAGAATGCTTCAGTCCCCTACAAATACTCTCCATTCAGCTTTTAGAATGTGTTGTCATGCAGTAGGCAAGTAATCAGAACTCAAGTAATATTTGCATTTGGGGACTGTAAAAACTCTAATGAGGCTATGAAATAGTGTTTAAAATTATCAAGGAGCTAGATATGCAGGCATAAAGAATTGTCCATTTTAGAAAGCGACGTTCCTGCCCATGTCCCAGATGACCTTGATCCGAGGGCCAGTTGGAGCTTGACATGAAGCTGCAGATGGCCGGTGAGCTCAGCTCTGTCCTAGTGAACCCCCCAAGGAGAGGGCCCTCCGCAGTTTTCCCGTCAGAATGGCAAAGAAATTCTCTCTCCCCAGTACTTTCTTACTAAGTATTTCATGTTGTTTGATTTTGATTTTGGTTTTGTTTGTTTGGGAGGAGGGGGTGTCATCTTTCAAGTCCCATCTTTAGGTATTTATAATTTGTACTTAAAAAATTTGCCTGGAGGCCCCTTGTGAAACCTTGCCTCTACTTTTCTTAGTAGCCCATTTTAACAATTTCTACATTTTCACGTGGCAAGTTAATGACTGAACACACACACGTCCCCACAGCATGGCAAACTACATGTGGGCTGGGGAACCATGCAAACCTGGGTTTGCCTCCTGCTCTGCTTCTAACTAGCTGTGTGACTTTGGGCAACTTAGTTAACCTCTCTGGGCCTCATTGTCCTCATGTGTAAAATAAGGACAATAATAGTTCCCACCTCATGAACAGCTGTTTCAAGGATTGAATGAGACCGAATATTGAAAGTAGTTCGATTAGCGCCTGGTGCATAGCAAATGCTCAACACATTTAGTGGCGGGGATTTTATTGCCGTTTCAAATAATGCACGCAAATGTCTACTGGCCTGTCTGCCATTGCAAGACTTGCCCACAGTAGGTGCCTAGCAAGTGTTTATTGCAATTAATTGAATTGACTACAACTGGTTAGCTTAGTTTGGGGGATAAATATTTACCTTCCTACTGGGATGTTTGAAAGAAACAGAGGATAACTCGCAGCTCAGGTGTTAAAAGCACAAGCGTGAAGAGGCTGTTTCACATAGAAAGAAGGCTGCCTCGCCAAGGCAGGTTTCCCTCCTTCCGGACATCACTGTGGCCAAGCTCTCGGCGTGCCGGCCAGTTTGGCAGGGCTTTATCAGCAGCTCCTTCGGGTCTCCTGGAGATCAACTGTGAGATTTTTTAATTGCCTTTCGCTGAAGGAATTGGGTCATATGTTCAATTCTGGTGATGTCCTTATGTTCTAGAACATGGTGGGAAGGGGAGGTCCCACCCACACGCAAGTCCCGATACCTTGGGGCCCCGACGAGGTGAAGTACAGTGGGGTCTCAGGTCAGGACTTGGCTGTTGTCATTTACACGTGCCTGTTTGGTTTTGCAGATTCCCCAGCATGTCTCCCCACACCCCCGACAAACCAGTGTAGAACTGTGTGCTCTGCTCTGCAGAGTAGGAGGGCAGGTGGGGGTGCGGGCTGGTCAAAGTCATTGCCGAGGAACCAGCTATGTGACCGAGCTTTCCTCTGTGTCCAACAAGGCACTGATTGATGAAGGCAGAGGGTCCTTAACTGAGAGCCATGATGGGTATTAAGTGGTCCAGAAAACCCTTGAAATTATATACAAAGTGCTGGTGGGCTGGAAGTGGGGTGGGGGGCAGCACTGTAAGTGCTTTTTCTGTGGAGAGAGACCATAGCTTTGAATGGGTTCTCAAAGGAGTCTGTGACCCAAGACAATTAAGACCGCAAAGCTGTTTGGTTTTGTTGCCCCAGAGCAGTCGGTGTGCATGACCACAACCCCCAAAGGCCCTAGCTAGGCAGGCGGTCAGGGTAGTGACAAGATCAGTCAGAGCCCTTCTGTGGCCAAGCAGCTGATGGATTGTTCACTCGGTTGTTGTAGACTCATGTAGACAAAGCCTGCAAGCTTGGGGAAGCCAGGCCTCCCCAGGTCAGCCTCGGGCGACAGCCCCCATCCTGCCAGGCCCTGGGGAGTGAGTCCTTCCTGCCCAGCAGCTCCTTTGCTCATGAGCTGGCCCGAGTCACCTCCTCGTACAGCACCTCAGAGGCAGCGCCCTGGGGCAGCTGGGATCCGAAGGCCTGGAGGCAGGTGCCTGCTCCACTACTGCCTAGCTGCGACGCTGTAGGTAAGTCACTTCCCCTGAGCCTCGCTTTCCACATCTGTCAACCGGGGCGCAGTCCCCTGCTCAGCCTGCCCGCCTGCCTCACAGGGTTGTTGGGAGGAACGCAGGAGGTGACAGCCCATAAAGCTCTGTACACCCATGAGGGACTTCTAGTGCTTTCTCTCCTGTCACCTAAGCAAGCAGAGTGCTCCAGGCGCCGGAGCCTTACCTCAGCTCCCTGCCTTGCACCTTAAAGCACCCCAGTTCCTTCCCTGCCTGCCTGTCCCGCGCCATCTGACTCTAAGCCCAAGGGAATGGGGGCTGTGCTTCCACACCTCTGAATCCCCCCCAGTGCCCGCCTGCTCCATACCTAGTGGGCCCTTAGGGACTGCCTGTCCCGCCAGCGATCTGCTGTGGACCCCACACCCCAGGGTGCTCCCTGACCCCACCCAGGACTTGTGCGCCCTAGAAGTGGGAAGTTGAATCAACCCACTGGAGGACTGGCAGCCTGGGGAGGGCAGAAGGCAGGAAGCCAAGGCAGCCTGTCCAAGATGGCTGAGAGTTGGGTTCATATCCTGGAATCTAGAAGGAACAGCTTGACTGGCCCTGAAGAGTCCCATTAGTGGTCATGGGAGCAAGATGGTGGATGCCAGCCCAAGTGGGCCTTTGCAGAGAATTTCATGGGAATGTGGAGTTGTTCTGGCACATGAAATATCAGTGTGCGCAGGACATCTTCCCTAACTGCAGAGAAAACTGGAGAAACGTGCATTTACTAAGTGATAATGATCAGAAGACGGTCACAAGCTGAAAGGGTGGCCAGGATTCTGGCCTTTAATGGAAATTCTGCTTTGGTCCGTACAGCCTTGTTCTCTCCGTCCAGTCTGCCCCAGCCTGGAAGAGCAAGCCGTACTTTCCATCCAAGGCCTGTTGATTCTTCTCTGTTTTCCCCGTTTCTCTGTGTGCTCTCAAGAGTCACAGTGTGCTCTTCCGCTGTTCCCTCTGCAGCTGAAACCCAAGAAATCTTGTCAAGCTCAAAGCTGCCAGGGAAGCAGAATTAACAGAATGGATGGGGACATTGTCCCCTCTGGATGTTGCTGTGTTTCCCCCCTGATCTGCCCTGCCTGTCCCCGTCCTCAGAAGTCCAAACAAGACAAGACGATGCCAGCCAGCTTGCCTGGTGAATTCCTCTCCCCTCCCCCATTTACATCTCCTCCCGAGCCAACACCTTCCCTCCAGCAGAAGAGGGCGGGGTGGATGGTTGGTCCCCAAATCTGCACTAAGAAGCTTTGGAAGTTGGGCCCAGCTGGGGAACTTTAAGGGATAGGACCTTGCTCAGCCTGTGACTCAGGGAAACCAAACTCAGTGTGAGACGGAGGACACAGGCAGCACGGGGAAAGAAGGAAGGCGGGCTGCAAAGACGTTTTGTTTTCCCTGCCCAGGACGTTTCGCAGCGTTTATACCAGGCATCCCTGAAAGCAGTGATGCGGAGGAGCAGTCTGAGGAGTTCACGCACTCAGAGGTCACATGGAAAAGGCAGCAGCACCAAAGCTGGCCTGCGGCTCTGCCATTTGTTTTAATGGCACTGATTTTGTGAAGGCCCCAGTGATAGCCCCAGACCGGTGCACACCCAAGGGCCACACCAGCACCTTGTGGGAGCACCCAGGTCCTGTGCCAGGGCCCAAAGGGGCAGAGAAAGATGCCGGCAGCCGCGGCCACCCTGGGCTTTGCCTAGCTTACACGATGGGGTGGCAGGTTCTGAGCTACCGTCAGGCCCACACCCTGACCCAGGGTTGCTGCCCTGCCCACCCACTCGGGACCCCGCCACTCTGCCGTGTCTTCTTTAGAAGGTGTCAGCATGTGCAATGATCTTTGATTTTACTTGTATCTTGTGTGTTTCCTCCTCCGTTGTAAGCTGCGTAAGTGTGGAGATGCGCACAGCTATCCCTGGCCTGGGCCAGAACTGGGACCGTTGTACGCCCGTGGTATTTGTCAGAAACCAGCAATGTCTGTCAGCTGACTGACAGAGGGACTTAGCAGGTGGCTAAGTAAACCCTGTCTTCCCGTCCGGGATTTGGGGCTCCAGAGTCAACAAGGCCCATCTCGCTGGCTGCCCTCTGGTCTTGCCTCCTTCCCTGCCCAAAGGGCAGGTGTTGGGCCGCCACCCCCACATCTTGGCCTCAGGCTCACTATGGGCCTGCCTCCTCTGGAGGCTTTATGGAAAAAACCGTAGAGTCAGGAGGGGCTGAGGAAACGCTGAACTCTGCCCGTCCTTCACTGTAGGAAGCCCTTAGGGCTGAGGGACATTCTGAGGAGACTTGCCGCCTGGAGCACCCACCTCCCCTCAAGAGGGCTTCTGGTGGGAGTGGCCAGCTGCATTGCCTCTATCCATTGCCCTCGGGTCTCAGGGGATGCCACCCATATGCGTGTGGGAGCCCAGAGATTTCAGGTCTATCTTACGGTCTCCAGGAAGAAGGCTGTCTTCCTGTCACTTCAGCGGAAAAGTCAGAGAGGTGGGTGAGTTATTTCCAAACCTGGCTTCCAAAAACTACAGAAGAAGGTGCTTTTCCTAATGGAGTAATAACCACACACACACTAGCACTCCTTAATAACCTTTGAGCCTTTAACAAATAGCTGAGTGCCTTCTGCTGCATGGCAGGCCGGCTCTGGGGGGACACTCACTGGGCAGTGCCTGCTGGGAAAGGAGGCAGAAATCTCCCCCTCCCGCTGCCCCTTGCCTGGTATGCTGTACAAAACAAGGCTTTCAGTCCATCCCCTGCCCTCCCCAGTCAGTGGTCCACTGGAATCCCCTCCTGGCTAGGATGCTCTCCTCCTCCTGGAGATCCTGGGTATCTGCACAGTAGTTCTGCTGGTCACGCCCCCCATCCCCATCCAGTGACAGTCCCTTTGCTGTCGTAAGTGGTAATGAGTCATGAGCCCATTCTTCCCCTTCAGTGATGAGAGGAAGCATCCAGGTGTTTGCTCTGGGGCTTACAGGAGACATTCGCCCATGGTGGATGAAGGGTGACGCTGACACAAAGCCTGGCCTGGCCTGCGGGGGGGAGGGGGGGCCCTGTACGGGGCTTAGCTGTGCCAGGGGGCAGTGGTGGTGCTCGGGTGGGCCTTTTGCCTCTCTCCTGCCTAACACACACAGATGAAGTGCGGGCTTTTCCATGAGTGCCCCCCAGACATGGGCTTTGCAGCTTCTTGGGAATCAGCATGAAACTTCTTGGAAGGCAGCTCCAGGCCATCCTGGCTGAGACTGTTTGTGAATGTAGCCCCTCGGTCAAGCAGGACTGGGAGGAGGCGTGACGGGGAAGAGCCCAGGCCCTAGTTCTCTGGGAGATGGCCTGCTGCTCCCAGCCCCAGACTCTCGGTGGTGAACACCACAGGGGAAGCACACCGAGGCCCATGCCGGGCCCACCTGATGCTGCCCGTGTCAGGGTCACCGGGCACAGTAGGACCGAGAGCCCTGACAATTGCAGCCCTAGAAAAATGAGTCATTTGATGACCTCCTCTATAACCGTGCTTATGAAAAGCCACCATGGCCTGGGCCATCCTTCACGAGTGTCTGTCACTGAGCAGCAACTTTCAGCCACTACTTCCTCCTGGTCACTGAAAACATTTGTCATTTCCTGTTTTCTCCATTTCCCAATGATTCTAATTGTCAGTGCCAAAAGGCAACAACTGTTTTCTTGGGGCTTATCTTTGGAGCACATTGATTCAGAACAAAGGATGGGGGCCTCCGTCTGCAAAACAAAGGAAGCAGCCTCCTGGGGAGGCCCAGGGACAGCAGGACCAGGCCAGAGCTCAGGGCTGGCAGTGCCCGAGGCCACCAGAGGCCCAGGCCCACAGGCCCCATGTCAACATGCTTTTTGGACGTGGGAGTTTCTGGAGTCTTGCTGCTGAGCAGGTTTTCCCTTCCATTCTGCGTGCTCTGGATTTTGTGCGTCCTTAGGTGAACACTGGCCAGCAGCCCGTGGCCCCTGTAACGCTGGACTGTTTGAGAGGCCCCCTCTTTCATCTGGCTGACACCCTCCCACTCCTCCCCCAGCCCAGCCCGCCCTTTGTTTCCCTTGTCCTCTCTACCTCCTTCCCACTGGACTCTTCTGCCCTCCCCCTGCTTTTTCTTTGGTCACACCCCCAACCCTGTACAACTGTGTTTGATGAAACTCACGGGGCAGCCGGTGGGGACAGAGTTCGGGTGGGTGTAGACCCAGCTGGCTGCAGGAGTCAGTCCCCAGAAGCAGTGGCCGGGGAGGCAGAAGCGCTGGGTCTGCAGCTAGGAGACAGTGTGCTGCCTAGCCGCTTCAAGCCACTTAACCTCTCTGAGCCTCAGGGGTCAATTATCTGCCCAGATCTGCAGCTGCCCAAAGGGGCGGAGGGAGGAGCGTAGGTGAGGGGCTGCCTTCGGAAATGCCTGCCAGCCCCAGCAGCTCAGGCAGACCCCAGTCCCACCACTTCCTGATGGCATGTGGCCCCTGTGCTCAGAGCCCCAGCCAGTACCACTGGACCGGCGCTGGTATGGAATGACGGGTGTGGGAGTGCAGTACGGTGAGCCTGTGCCAGGGCTCAGCCAGGAAGCTGCCAGGGCTGGGATGAGGGAACTGCTTCTCCTGTAGCCTGCCCTGCCGTGTGCTCACCCGTCCTCTCGGCCTGGCAGGAACTGCTGCGAGCCCGGGACCCGTCCCAGGTGCCAGTCCCCCACCCCATCCCAGCCCACGCCAGCCCCGAGTGCAGAAAGGCAGGCTGTGCGCCTACAGCTGGGGCCATAGGATCAAGTCTCCGGCATCTGTGGGGACACAGCTCGGAAAGTGGGCGGGGGAGGCGGGCATACTGATGGAGGTGCTTAGGTGTCGGCACTTTAGCAAGCAGGCCTCTTGGGAAGGGGAGAGGCAGAGCAGCGGGTGAGCACTGGGATGTCAGAACCAGATCTCGGTCACAGCCTGGCACTGAATGGCGGAAGGTCTTGGGGCGAATCGTGACTTCTCCGGGCCCTGATCTGGTTCTCTCTTGGCTATCCCGTTGAACCACTGCCAGACTCAGTGCTGGGACTGCGGCCCTGAAGCTTGGCTCCTCTCTTGGCCCCCCGGCCCACCCTGAGGAGGAGCAGGGAAGCTCACCCCAATTGCTGGGCTGCAGCCAGGCAGGAGAACAAAGGAAAGTTGTCAGTGTGGCCATCTGACCATGTGATCATCCTACCATTTATGCCAGGACCACCCGGAACAAGCCTGGGCTCTTGCCCCGTGACAGCCCCACAGAGGCTAGGCACCCACCACCACACAGCCCGGAGTCTGCTGTGTCCCAGCCACTGAATCCCTGGTTTGCTCAGTCACTCCGTGTCTGCGTGGTTTGGAGCCCAAGCCCTAGTCCTATCTCTTAGTGTCCTCGGAATACAGCCAGTTCATCTGGGTCTCCCTGAGAGTGGTGTGCCCAGGCTCTTGTCAGCACCGTAGACATGGTCTGGCCAAGGCAGAGTAGTGTAGGACTGTCACCTCCCTCCTTCTACATACTCTGCTTCTATTAATGCAGCCTAATGTTACATTTGCTCTCTTGGTGACCACGTCTCACTGCTGACCCATCCTGAGCGGAAGGACATCCAAAATGCCTCAGTCTTTTCTTCTATGTGCTCTTGCTGTTACACTCTGTCTCTCCTGCCCCATCCTATGCTGTTGCAGTTGGTTTTTTAACCCAGGTCCAGAATCCTACTTTGATTTATACCTGTGCACTTTTGCTCGGGAGGGTGGGGCATGCATGCAAGTGTGTGTTGGTGTGTTCACTCATGCTTTCTGCTACACCAAAGCCAAGTTCTGGGTTCCCACACAGTGATTCCCAAGGCTAGAATGTCTTGATAGCCATAATCTAACACGTCTTTCTCATCTTCTATTTAGCAAGAGAAGCAGAGATCAGGTCTTACGGCAATGACCCCTGAACAGCGGAGCGCATGTATCGCCCAACAGATGAGTCAATTTCAAGGTGAGCAGTTGAGGTCAATGTTCCCAAAGGACTGGGCCAGGAAGTGTGTACGTGGGGGTGGAGTGAGAATTCACTTTAGAGTAAGCTACGGTAGGTGGTTTTGAAAGCACTGAGGGAGACGGGGCAGGTCTGAGTGAGTTAAGCAGCACTGCTTGAATATCTCACATTGAAAGCTTAAATAGCATCCCAGTTGAAGGCCAGGTCTTAAGCACTGCAAAATCACTGTTGAATGCAAGAGATTGACTAAACCGAGTCAGGCCCCTTCAAGCAGTTGTTCTCAGTGGGAGAAGGCACTCCCCCAGGGTTGTGATTCTGCCTGTGCCCACCTCAGCCACTGCTGGAGGACCCTGCACTGTAATGGCTCCTGAGCCATCTCTTGGATGTCAGCAGTGGAAAGGGGGTCAGGGAAGCTCTTCCTCAAAGAGGCTGTGTCAGGGCCTCCCACAGATAGCAGGGCTCCCCACCCTGCCATGGCAGCTATGAGTGTGATCAACATTTATCAGCCAGAGATACAGCAGTTAGCAAAACAAGCAGGTATGCTCCCCACTTCACAGAGCTTCCAGATTAGCCGGGGAGACACGTGTTAAGCAATCCTTCCCAGCCTGTGCAGTGACATTGCGCCAGACAAGGGTACTGTCGCCTGGGGCTCAAGGGATGCTCCCTGTCCTGCAACAGGTGCTTGGCATCTTTATTTTAGCCCACTGCTGCTCTTGCAAAATTACTGTTCCTTTGGGCCTGAAACCAGGTGAATGTCCCACCTGCCCGGGCTGGAGTGCCACGTTAGGTGTGCTTTAGCTACAGTGACAGGGCAAACAAGCTTCCGGAAGGCCAGTGTCAAGGGGTGGACATCTGTCAAGGGGTGGGAAGTGTCAGACCTGTGTATAGAGTACTGAGTATAGAAACAGACCCAGCTCCTGGCCTCGTGGAGCCTACAGTCTACCTGAAAAGAGTCAGATATGCTGACGTTTTCAGTCCAATGTTCTCCTTGTTGGAGAGGGGGACTGTGCACACAGACAAGGGGGTCTAGGAAGGCTTCCCAGAAGAACTGCAGTCCAGGCTGAGGATGGAGGGACAAGGGGAGTTGAGAAGAGTTGGGGAGCAGGACATGCTCAGTAGGAGCTAAGGGTAGAAAGCAAGGGGTCAGAGGTCAGTGCTGGGCCAGTACCTACTCGCCAGCAACTGCAGCCCAAACTGCAGACAACTTTGGAAATGACCCTCGCTTCTCTCCTTCTGTAGCCATCCAAGAACAAGTCACCTCCAAGTGTAGCTGGACCAAGGCAAGTCCCCCATCCAGTCCCCCATCCAGCCAGAACATGATGTCACCCACCAGGCAGCAGAGCCGGGATGGCATGGGCACAATCTCACTGCCTGCAGGCAAGCAGGAAGGAATTGTCAGCTCCAGTGCCCCGTTCCCCCTGCCCTCACACCAGAGTGCCCCAGGCAGCCTTGGCACCGCCTGCCGGCGTATGCAAATTCTCAAGGCTGCCCACTCGGGAGTGCCCCTGCCCAGGTTCTGTCCCAGCCCCTTGAGCAGCCAGCCCCTGAGTCCCCACCAGCTGAGACAGCCCTGTGTGCCGAGAATGCCCACCACGTTCCGCAGTGCCCCATGGGCGGTGGCAGCAGCTGCATCCACGGCGCTTGCGGGGGAACCACCCCCAAGCCAGGTGGGTAACAGCACCCAGCAGCATTTTGATAGCAACTCGATCTTCACCAAGGCACTGGTGAGAGGGCCCCTGGTAGCCCCCACATTGCCATCTCAGCAGGCAGTTGTGTCCCCCCATCAGGTGGCCCTGGGAGGCAGACCTGATCAGAAGGCATATGCTGCCCTGGTCAGCCCCAGCCTGCTGGGCCATCAGGGCCTCAGACAGAGCCCAGTGCGGGGTCCTGTGCCTGTGCTGAATGCCTCCAAGTCCCTCCCACAGGGCATGGCTGGCTTTGGTCCTGTGAGCCCCATACAGGGCATTGAGCCACCAAGCTACGTGGCCGCTGCTGCTGCCGCAGCCACTGCCTCTACCATCACTGCCAGCCAGTCCCCGGGTCCATTCAATAGGATAGGTACCCCCCCTGAGCGGCCACAGTCTGACTTTTTGCCCCAGCCCTTGCCCCAGCTAAGTGATCTGGGCTCAGCACCTGACTGCAGTGAGGTGGATTTCGTTGAAGCTCTGTTGAAAAGCCCCAGCGTCAGCCCAGCTGAAGGCTGGGTCTGCGACCTGAGGCTGATAGATGACATTCTGGAACAGCACGCTGCTGCCCACAGTGCCGCAACCCAGAACACGAGCAGACTTTAAATGCCCAAACAAACCCCCATGTTGACATCCCTTTAGGGAGTGGCATGGACCTACAGCAAATTCACAACTGACCCCAGACAGGGCACAGTTGTCTCCACATTACAATTTGAGTGGTATCAGCCCATGTACATCCCTGTCTCTACCTGTGACAAAACGGAAAGCTGGTGATTTTTCAAGCTACCTGTACATATTTGAAAATTTTGTAAATGTTTTTCCTAAACATTGATGACAGAAGTATTTATACTTCATTTTGTGACTTTGTAAATAAAGTGGCGGCTTCCGTTTCGGTAGAGTTATGTTTATTACGCATTGTTTGTGTTTGTTACCCATTGTCACAAATACACAGCCTTGTTCGCTGCAGCACTACCTTGTTAAGCTCCAGCTCTACCTTAGAAACCAGGTGCCTGACTTGCTTCTGGTCTCCGTGCAGAGGTGGACGTGATCAAGAGGTCTTATGCAAACTGACAGATGCCAAATAGAAAACCACTTGGCCATTTATTTCCATTTTCACTAAAAATTCTATTGCCTTGTATGATACTTAATCTCTTTTGCAAACCTTTCCGCCTCCGCTAGCTCTTTCCTAATGAGCAATATTACAGCAGCAGCCATTGTATCATAAATGTCCTGCAGAAGAAATTTACCAGGAGGCTTGAAAGCATCCTGTAGGTTTGGAAGAGGTGAAGAGAGAGCATGTGTGCTGTCTGGGTCTGAGCTGTCCACCTTGAGGATATAAAGGTTCCTCCCTTTATTGTTCACATGAACAGAAATTCCCCAGTTTGCACTTCTCCAGGGGCACCCATGCAGGATAGAGGTGAGATGTTCCTGGTTTAAAATGTTTCAGTACTTGTTTTAATATAACGCTGTGTGCTTTGGGGTAAAAGTCTGTAAACATTAATAGTTGATTTGGGATTTGTCTTTGATGGGTTTCTATCTGCAATTTTTCTCATGTATATTTAAGTGTCTGTTATAAAAAAAAAAACCCAAACCCACTGTCCTGTAAACTTCTTTGTGTCCAGACTCTGTGTAATCACGTTTTAATGGCACTTCCTATTCACCTCTACATTTGAAATCTGGCATCTGTTTCAAGCCAGTGCGTTTTTTTCTTCGTTCTGTAATAAACAGCCAGAAGAAAAGTGCCTCTGTTTTCATTTTTCAAGGGAGCATTCAGAACCTCCAGTGCTGTGTGGGCTGACCCGCTAGTGTCCTTGGTCTGTCTGCAGCCACTCCTTGCCCTGTGCATCTAGAGAAGCCCTGTGTGTCCATCGGCTAGTTAAGAAGTTCGTGTGGTCTGCACATCACAGCATGGAAACGCATCATGTTTTCCTGCAGCCCCTCGTTTTGCAGGGAATGATGTAGAGGGGAGGGGGGAGGAGGTTACTAAGGTAACTGCACTGGGGGCAGAGCAGACTTGCCCTGAGAACCTAGCCTCGCCACACTGCCATCCTCTCTCCACTGAGAGGGTGACAGACCCAATTAAAGATCAAGTCCTCTCATGTGAAGATACCCTGTACAGTGGCTGGAGGTGGGGGCCCCTGAGGCAGGCACATGTGTGTTGCACAGGAGAGCAAGCAGACCATGGTGAAGCCACTGGGCCACTGAGCAGGGATGCATGGGCCCTAGGGAAAAAGGGCTCCCCTCTTTCCTCCCCCATGGCCCGGGCTGAACCCAGCCCTGTTCTTCCTGACAGCTGCAGGCCACGTTCAGAGTCCCCACAACTTGGCTTCAGGTCTGCCACCAATGATCCTTGATGGCAGTGGCTGGAGCGTTCTTGTTTGAGGTGGCCTGCACTCCCACCACCACAGAGCTGCTCCCCTCCCCACAGCAGCCCCTGGCCCTTTGCATCCCAACCTGCTGCCCAGTCCCACCCCTCAGGAGGCCCCACCTGGCCCCCCATCCCACAAGGAAGCTGAAAGCTAAGAGCTCTGCCCTACTCTTGGAGGTGTGAAAGCCCAGAGCTATATGGAGGGCACAAGGTGAGACCTGGGCCCACCTGAAATGCCATCATGGAGAGCAGTGCAGGGAAGGGTGTGACTGGAGGTGGGACCTGATGACACGGCTGAACCATCAGTTAGCCAGGGTAAAGCTTGTCGCGCCCTTCCGAGGGGAGGCTCGTGAGCAGGAAGAGAACTGTTAGGTCACCTGACGAAGCCACCTTTTCCTTCGTACATGTGAGGGGTTGCATGGGTGTACATTTCTAGTCCCATGTAGGCAGCTGGCAAATGCCAGACACCCAGCTCAGAAGCGGAAGGGCATGTGGGCTTTACCTCTCTAACACCCAGGAGGTTCGTACTTTGACGTCTCTTTCACACAGGAGGAAGCTGGCACTCAGAGATGTAAAGTCACTTGCCCAAGGTCACAGAGCTGGTGAAGGTGGAGTTGGAGCACTCGCATGCCCTCACTCTGGTGCCACATTCCAGGTGCCAAGGCTGGGGTAGCCAAAGACACCATCCAGATGTGCTGCCCCACCCAGGCACAGGCAGGTAGAGCTACCACCCGCCCACTCCCGCTCAAGAGGCTCAACTTTGGGTGGTGGTCTAGAGGCAGAAGAGTTACAGTCAGGATGGCGACCACCACCCCTCCCTCATTCAATAATAAAGAAGCTGCAGAATGAAAATGTAGCACCTACGCTGCAGCCGGGGAAGTTGCTCTGCTTTCCCACAGCCCCCTGCCCCAGTCCATGGTGGATAAGCGGCTCCCTTGGGAGTGCAACCTCTGGGCCAGGGTGGGGAGTGGGTAGAGACCCTGCCAGGTTGCCTGTCAAGGGCACCGTGGTACTGCCAGCCTGACATGGCAACAGCCTCTGCCGTGCCCTGCACTGAGGTGAACAAGTGGCCTCACCAGGCTAGGAGCTTCAGAGGCCAGTGTGCGTCTCACCACAGCCCACAGACATTGCAGCTGCAGGCCGCCCAGCTAGAACACAGCACAGGGGTGCAGTGGGGCCTTGCCAAGTCTCAGGGCCAATGTGCTCCATTCTGTTAAATGCCCTTGCTCCAGGGCACCCCTAATGGACACAAACAAAGCCCATAGGTATGGCCAGTGTTGATGGTTCTTTGACTCCGAACTCTAGCAGGCAAATCCCTGGCGCACACCCCACACGGTCACAGTGCAGTGGAATAAGGGGCATGCCTGTAAATGTCAGTAAAACAATTCTGTTATCATCAAAATGGCCTGCTACAAACCCTAAGAGGCGGGCAACAGCACAACATCAAGGCTCCAGGCAGTCACCAAAAATGCTCCTGGATAAAGCAGATCTTCCGTTCACCCAGGAAGTCAATTGGCCCCCCTCTGTGATGCTTCTGAGGTCCATGAATGCCTTCAAGACATAGTGGCAATATTCTCCAATCCACCAAAGAGACCCCTGTTCTGCTAGGATGAAACCTTTACAAGAACAAGGGCCTGGGACACTTGATGTGCTTCTGACTTGAATTCATTGCCAACATTTTTTTTAATGGAAGATTTCACCCAACAGTGCTGGCAGAGATTTTGCCTTTGACCTAAAGTATCTTTATCTCGGAAGTCACCCAACGCTGGGGTGGGCATTTTTAATGAATGCCTGGTGGGGTAGAACTGGGAAATGGCTTACCCCTCTGCCAGGTCTTACCCCTTTTCAAGATCCTTACAGCAGGTTTATTCTGGTGGCTGCAGAGCCCCAGGCCTGGCTCCACGTGGCTCTGGGCACGTGAAGGAAGGATCGCACAGAGCCGGACAAAGGCTGTCTCTCTTCAAGACTCTTGACAGGCAGAGCGGAGTCGGACTGGGCTGGGCTCCAGGCTCCAGGCTCCAAGAGAGGGGCTCGTAGGTGCCGGGGATAAGCTGCCCGAGAGCTGGGGAGAGGAGAGAGGCAGGGCCTGGGAACCTCGCTGGGGCTACCCCTAGAGCATTCCATCGTCTCCCAAACCCAGGCTGGAATAAACAGAAATGAACATGCGGCACATTACAGGGCCCCCAAAGTCACATTTTGCCTAAGAACATCTTAACAGCTGAAGCATTTTTAGCTATTCCTTGATATTTTGCATTTCCTCTGGGGAACAGAGGCCACGTGGCACAGAAGAAAGGCTGAAGGCTCAGAGCTCAGTCACTTTCTGGCAACTTAAGTGACTCAGTCAAGGTTCCCCAGCTAGGAAGGGCCAGTCCAAGAAGCAAACGTTCAAAGCCACGGCTCCTATCCTTGATACCACAGGGTCAAAACAGTATGGAGGGTCCTCAATAAATTAAACATAGAATTACCATATGATCCAGCAATCCCACTTCTAGATATATACCCAAAAGAATTGAAAGCAGGGTCTTGACCAGATATTTGTACATACGTGTTCAAAGCAGCAATCAGACTGGCCCTTGTCCTGGCTGACCAAGCCCCACAGGCCAGACCCACCCAGCTTTCTCACTTCATCTGCCATGCTGCCCCACGTCCACTGGGCTCCAGCCATGCCAGCTCACCTCCTGTTTCTCAACACCCCAAGCTGAAGCTGCTCCCCACACAGGGCCTTTGCACCTGTTGGTTGGTCTCTCTGCCTGGAGTACTCTTCTGTGTCCTTGCATTCTGGATTCTTCTTGGCATTCACACGTCAGTTTAAATGGCCCCTTGTTGAGGACACTCCTGACTACCCAGTGTACTTATCTTCAACACATCACACCATGTATGGCTTCCATTTGGGACTTCCATTTCCCCCAGCTTGTTGTCATCTCCCCACTAACACATCAACTCCACGAGGCTGCAAGCTCGGATCTGTCTTGTTCACTGATGTTTCCTGCCACATGGAACAGTGCCTGGCACATGGAGGCACAGTAAGCAAGCATTTGAAGAGGTGAACAATTGCCCAGGTGTAAAGACTGAGCAAGACCCTCATTCCTCAGTAAGTACAGGATTAAGTTTCTAGGGTTTTCTCCCTTTTAAAGAAAGCAGAACATTTGAAGAATGATTTAAAAGGCCTGGGCATGTTTAGAGGAGAGATGGCCCAAGAGCAAATGGCTTCTTCTTCAAATCTCTCATCCACATGGTGGCCTGTGAAATCACACAGGCTCCAACTTGCTCTATAAACTTGGGCAGGCTCCCTTCCCTCTCTGGGCATCAATTTCTCCACCTACAGATGAAGGGGTTGAATCCCACCTTCTGGTTTTTTTCTGGTGTCAATACTCACCTCGGCAGAGTGATTCTATGCTTGGGCTCTGGAGCCAGGCTGCCTGGGTTTGAATCCAGCCCCCATCAACTCACTATGTGATCTCAAAGCTACTTACGTCCCCTGAGCCCTAGTCTACTGATCAAGAAAATGGGCCTAATAAAAAGACCTGCCTTAGAAGGGGGCTTCGATGATAACTGAGATTCCCCATGACAGCTGGCCTAGAACCTGATGTGCTCAGTGCTCAGTGAGTGTTAGTATCCTATTACTATGAACTCTTGATCGTCCTTACATGCACTTACCACCCACAGGATCACCAGAAACCCTGACAAACTTAAAACCTGAAGCTGCTGCACAAGAGAGGCAGCCTCCCTTCGCAAATCCTTTGAGAGGGATCTGATCCACATCGATTGTATTTTTCGGAGCACAGGACCTGGGCCCTAGAGAACCCACTACCCACGGCTCTCCTGAGGTCCAGGGCAGTGTGGCTGGGCCTCGGCATGTGGGCACTTGGCTGGATTCTGTATTCCCAGGGATGCTGTTTCTTGGTACAGAATTGATTATTCTAATCAAGGCACTTCAGTGTTCAAGCTGTGAAATATAAACAGGTTCGGGCAGTATGGAAGTGTGGCTGAAGGACTTCAGTCGGAGCTTGCTTTCCTGAGATGAGCCTAACATAAGCACATGGCTAGCATGCAGAAACGGAGACAACAGAAGCCTCGGGCTCAGCCCGGCACAGGCCCCGGCGGACAAGGAGGCACGTTCCCAGGGAAGGGCTCCACATGGTCCCCAGGCATTCACTCTTGGAGATGCACTTTGGAGGCCTCCAGCAAACCCAGAAGTCTGGGACAGAATGTCATCTCTCCCAGTCTGGTGAATACCAGAAATGGGTGGGACAATGAAGTACAGTAAGGGTGTCCACAGGGACATAACCTGGGTGCCAGTATGGATGCTCTGGGGCTGTGGGTGGTAGAACAAAGGGAACCTTCTCTGCATGGGGGCCACC